CCCCAAAACCCCAAAACCCCAAAACCCCAAAACCCCTTATTACAAAATAATTATTGAAATATAAATGCAAAGAGAAATCAATACCCTGATCGATAAGCTCGAAATGATGTGTGTAAAGTTAGGAGGTAAGCCCCCATCCCTACAGTTCAATACCCAACCCCAAAAATTCCCGAACAAATTTTTCAAAAACCTCAAACCATCTCTCTTCCAACTTAAAAAAAATCTGAAAGCCTCTCCAATCAGCACTTCAGATACAATTTAGAGTTTTTAATTATTTTGTGTAGGCAAAATTAAAATTTAGAAGAAAATCTAGGTGTAAAGTAAGGACTTTTACCCAAGATAAGAATTTTAGCTTGAAATTTTATGAGACATTCAGTTGAGATCGAGTTTTGTGAAGATTTTGGGGTTTATAGTTTGGAAGAAGAAAGAGATATTTAGACAACTTTCAAGCGATTCTTTAGAGCTTGAGCACAGAGATTTAGTGGATAGGAGATTATTGGTTTGTTAAGGTGCTGGGGTTGAGATAAAAGCCTTCTCTTGTTGAGTCTTTGTAGCATAAATTGATAGATAATGGATTGGTAACTATTGTAACTTATGCTTGTTTATTGAGTGCTGAGAGTCAAGAAGAAGCAAATTTTTAATATTTAGAGTCTTTATTTGACCGAATATGGTAGCAAATCCCTTACAAGCAATCATCTATCCTGACTAATAATTTTTAGGTCCTAAAGATCCAGACAATCCTGATGATCCTCTTGGTATAAAAACTGGAAATGGTAGATCCAATTTGCTTAATTTTGTAGAATTTGATTATTTGAGGCAAATCGTCCAGGAGAACTTCAAGTTAATAGCTGAAGAGCTAGCTGAGAGACACGAAAAGATCCAAATCCATGGTTATAACTCAAACGAGAGAATCCTTGCAGATGAAGAGATCAAGACTTACATCGAGGACACTCAAGATCAGTTAAAATAAGCTAAAAACGTAACTATTCATCTTCCTCGCCTATAAAACAAGATGTCTAATATTGCCTAGGTGTGTGGATAAGAACAAGAACAGATTGTCTCCGAAGGAAATCACTGAGAGATGAAAAGTAATCAGTCTGCTTAGGAAGCAACTTAATATTATGAATAACCAGTTTAAAGAATCTGGGAGAACCCAGATGGGACTTAACAAAAATGATGAAGAAATTAAAGCAATGCATTCCCTTAACGGAGAACTCTCAGAGGAAGCTTCAGATAGAGACCTTAACGGTAAGTTTCATCTGATTATAACTTATAGATATGGAAAAGGAGGCCCTCAACCAGATGAAGAATAATGACAAAGAACTCGAGGACATTGCCCTTCAGATAGCACATTCTTTAGACGAGCTTGGAGAAAAACAGAAGAAAACTAGCCGAGCCATTGCTGAACAGCATGAACTTCTAGTGAAGGCTAATAAGGATGCTGAGAAGACAGAACTTGAGTTAACAAGACAGAATAATGAGCTCTCAAGGCTCCTGAACAAATTCAGGGGTGGGAAACAAGTCTGGCTAGACTTGTTTCTCATATTTATCTTCCTTGGATTCCTCACTCTTCTCTGGAATAGGCTCAAAGCAAGAGGATATGTCTAATTCAATAAAATGGGAAAGAATTGGGGTTTTGGGGTTTTGGGGTTTTGGGGTTTTGGGGTTTTGGGG